AGTTGTTTGCGATCCGCCATTAACGAAATGAAGAAGAAGAAGAAGAAAAACTAAAACGGAGTGGCATCAAGTTTTAGCAATTTTAGGAGTTCTCTTTTGTCATTTTTCAACAATGGACTCAGCATGAGAGAAAGAAGAGGAAGAGACCATGGAGAATGTTGTTTTTCACACAAGGCAAGCTGACAGCTCCATATGAGGTAAGAGAAATGCAAGTTTGTTTGCCCTGCATTGTAGTCCTCTTCCTGATTGCGGAGCGGTGCTCGTTCTGCTTACATTCACATTGTACTCGAACCGCGCTCAAGTTTTCTTCTACCGGACCAAGACCTAGGTTTTAGCCCGGGCCAGAGTTTGCCTTTTTGTTCTATGACAGAGTTCGATGGCGAGTTCCTACGAAACGGACTTCCTAGACAAACAGGCAAGAGTTTGGGACAACAGGGCTGATGTGAATTCACCCTAAAGAAGCTGGTTCTGCAAACACTGGAATATCATAATGACTTTGACTCTGTGAACTGTGCTTTTGGATGACATGAGTTTTGTTTTTTGTTTCACTCATTTTGTGGCATTTCAGACAGGGCTTAATTTGTAAACCGATCGATGCGCAAACGTAAATAGTGGTGGGCTGGCGCTTGGGAATTGCTGGTGCAGAATTCACTGTCCTGTTCTTTGTTGTCCGACTCCACATGTGAAATCTCCAGACGCCACCTCCGTCTGTTCATGGCGGCTGGCTGTGGGCTCCTGCCTAGTTAGCTCGGCACTCACCCCACCACTCGCTCGTTCTTGCTCCAATCTCGATTGCCACTGTCTTAAGGTGCTTCAATTCTCGATTGTCCAACTAAGGACAACGAAAAGCCTTTTTTAATCAAAGTAAATTGGACTGTTTTTTGACATTTTGATCGCTGTTATTTTGACAAATTAGCGCTGTTGTTTCAATACGTGATGCGAACAATGCACATCAAACATTTCTCTCATTGTATTTTTAATAAATAATCAAAATTCTATTAATAACCCACTTAAACTGTCGAACTGATTTGCAATTTAGTTGGGCTGTTTAATTATATTTTTGAGTTTTTAATAAAATTGTGCAATGACTTTGGACTGTATGGGTGGAGACTTTTAAGAGTAGAGGCAAAAATGCTTTCTTGAAGGGGCAGTATGTGATATTAAGAAACTTGTAAGAGGTTGTGTTTAAAATCAGTGTTTATGTAATTATTTTCAGATTACATTTTCAATATAGTTATATTCATTCAAGGCAGTCAAATTTGTTCATAACTTTATTATTAGTAAGCCTGAGAGTTACCAGATCCAAGCAAACAATTACTGGAACACACCCTGTCATACTTAGGGATGATTTAGTGTTACCAAATAACCTAACATCCCTATTTAGGGTCTGTTGGAGGAAATCAGAGTAATAAGCAGTCCGTCACTGACTTTAGGAGATGGTCCTGATGCTTGTGGGACTTTCTAAAGCACCCTTATAACAAGTGAACCTCTCTCTTTGAATTTCTGGATGGTTTAATAAATGGTTTATTAGGTTCAATCTTACTAACAAAATTTCCCTTGACTGTGAAGCCCTTGTTGTGCATAGTAATGATGACAGCGCATTTCCTTGTGGGTATACATCATTAACAGAGGAAGAACAATAATTTCAAGCACCACCCTTCTTTAAAACACAATTTTTTATTATAAGACCTAAGTCACCAAAGTTCATGACAATTAATATTTGTATCATTCTCAAAGCTTTTGTCCTTGAGTGTGAGTTAAAACAATGTTTGGTGGATGATATTTTTACAGGTGCACACAAAGTTATAATTTAATACATTTAATCCTTTAAAGCTGAACTTCAAATCAAATGTGCTTTTTTAGTTTTTGGTCTGAAAAAGATTTCCCAGAAAATCAATATTTGGTAAAAAACTGCCCATTAATTTGCAGTTTAGGGCAGTGAAACAATTAGATGAAGGATTTTTACATGCTTTATATGAAGGCCTGTCTTTGACACTTGTCAAACTAAATACAAATGAAGAACATAAAATCATTTTCAGTTAAAGAGATCTGACTATAAGCATTTGGACAAATCAAAATCCATAAAATTGTATCCATAAAATTCTCCTGATCACAATAGACCACTCAAAGAATGGGGCTATTTTATTTTATTTTATTTTTGTCTCCTTAAATTGATTAGGGTTTTGTGCAGCTGTTTAATTTGATTACTCACACCTACTTTTCATCGTTGTGCAACAGGATTGCCAGGAATGTAGCTTTTCTATCACTGGAAACAGAACTTAGCCTGCGTCCTCACCTTGTGATCAGATTTTCAACATGTTTAATGACCAATTTTCTATTAGACAATAAGAGAAATTTTAGGGTTCTTTGTGGCTGTAGTGACATGTAAACAAACTTCGTGTTCTGCTTCCAACATCAGGAAAGCTATCGTCCAGACAATATTACTGCTCAGATTGATGATGGTAGTGAGTGATGATGTAAAATATGCTAAGCTTTCTTGTTTTTGTTCATGTAGCCCAGACTGGTGTACTGCAGTGATGTGCAGGACATTGAAGAGTTTTTCCCACTGAAGGGAGTCGTCCTGAACCAAAAAGACGATGAGTTCTACGCCAAGTTCAACACAGGAAGGAATCCCTTACCCTGGCAGAATGAGGTGATTTGCTTCCTGGATCTGAGTATGTGATTAAACCAGAAATGACTAATCTGTCTTTTGCTCAGCTCATAGAAACAGGATGTTTTGAAGAGCTAAATGTTTTTGGTCCCAAGAGCACTCGAACTCCAGACCTGGAATGGTCCCAGGTTACTGACAGCCCCAAACGTGGCTTCCTGCGTCGAATTTTCCGCAGACAGGTCAGCGCAGAGTCCAGTCCTGCTTTAAATGTTTGTGTGGCATTAACAATACTGAACATTGACTCTCTTGATTTCACCAGCAGGTACCCTCAGACATATCTGATGAAAACAGAAATAGTTTGACATCCAATGAGGGCTAGATGAAATCAGAACCCCTCAGCTCTGCTTTACAAGAACAATCGAGAAACTGGACCAGTCGGTGTAGCAGCAAAAACATCTTCCTTTTAAAATAATATACATTTGTATGTTTGTACAGTTATTTCCCTTGCAGACACATTAAAGTAGCACTTGTTTGTTTATTGTCTTAATTGCTTCATTTTGAAGAAAGGCTGAAAATTTAATAAACTTTTTTTTACTCTGGTGCTTCCCTATCACTTTTATTCATACAGAAATGTGAATTACAAAATGTCTTAATTTCTGTACCAAAAAATGACCTGATCTAACTTTTGTAAGTAGCATCTGAAGGAACAACAGGACTTCTGGATCCTTTGGATCGGACCAAAGTAAAGACGTTTGAAGAAAACATAAACATTTCAAACCACGTGTCAAGCACGATGATGGACCGGAACACCTTACAGAACTCACTAAAGGATTCTAGAGTCAAATGTGAGAGAATCAGTCAAACAGAAGATTTCACCAAACTGGATCAACAAGAAAACAAACAGGGCGATAATAACACATATCAACAAAATGGCTGAAAAAGAAACACATCTAGATGCTGCAATGGTCCATTCAAAGTCCAGACCTCATTTTCACAGAAGCTGTGGTGGGACGTTACAGGTGCAGATTTCCTCAAATTGAATAACACAGAGCTTCACAGAGAAACAGTTAGAATTCAAGAAGCTGGTTCTGCCTTCCCAACCAGAAAATAAACTTGTCAGATATCAGGCCAATGCTGATATTCAAACATTTACATCATTGTAGTTGCTAACTGGATGCTTATTTCATGAGAATCGGAATAAGCTTTATTATCATTGTACCAAAGTACAGTGAGATTTGAAAGATGGGCAGAGTGCACATAGCTGCTGCTCCTGAGAGCACGGCCCCTTATTCTTTATCAATAAACTTTTTAGATAGAAAAGAGGGAAAATCCATGAGGCTGGATAGTGGTATTGCAAAAAAATCTCTTCACATCTTGTCCTATCAAGACAAGATTTAAGACATCAAAAAACTCACATTACATATATGCATTTGATGGCAATAAAATCACAATATCTATCGGCTATAGAGGAGACGTTGCACGTTCGTGGTGAGACGTATTGTGTCACTTCCTGTTTGTCTGTTGGTAGGTCGAGTGAATTGTTTGCTCGAGTCGTCTCTGTTTTCTGGATTTATCTGTCTTTTGCACAGTTTTACATTCTAGTTCACAAACACACTAGTTGTTTTTCTACTGTTGGATAGTGCTTAAGACACCTCATTTTCTTCTGTAAATAAAAAAAAAGAAGAAGTGGCATCAAGTTTTAGCAGTTTTAGGAATTATATTTTGTCATTTTTCAAAAATGGACTTATCATGAGCAGAAGATGAGACAGAAGACCATGGAGAATATTGTTTTTCCACACAAGGTAGCTGACGGCTCCATATAAGGTAAGAGCAATGCGTGTTTGTTTATCAATCAACCTTTATTTATACAGGTGTTTACCCTGCGGAGCGGGGCTCGGTCTGTTTACATTCACACTGTACTCGAACCGCGCTGGAGTTCGCTTCTACCGGACCGAGACCTAGGTTTTAGCCCGGGCCAGAGTTCACCTTTTTGTTCCGTGACAGAGTTCGATGGTGCGTTCACACCTCCCCAAACGAACCGGACTTTCTAGGAAAACGAGCTAGAGTTTGATTAAAGCAGACTAAACAGGGCCAATGTGAATGCACCCTTAATCATCCGCTGATGAAGTGTTTTTAAAAGGTGTACGGAGAGGTGTAGAGGCCACCTCATGTCCACTAGGCGACGTGTTATCCTTTTTTGCAGCAGATGATGGACAGAAATCTGGCGTTCAGCACAAGTAAACGTACGCTGAAGCTATCTCTTCCTGTCATGAAGGTTTCAGGGACAGAACAGCTTTTAATCATCCACTGATGGAGCGTTTTGTAAAAGGTGTATATAGAAAGTGTAGAGGCCACCTCATGTCCTCTAGGCGGTGTGCTGTCTTTTCTGCAGCAGCTAATGGATAGAAATCTGGCGTTCAGCACGATTAAACGTATGCTACAGCCATCTCTTCCTGTCACAAAGGTTTTCGGGGACAGAACAGCTTTTAATCATCCGCTGATGAAGAGTTTTGTAAAAGGTGTACAGAGATGCAGGCCTGTTTTCACGCCCACTTGCTCCAGTGGGATTTAACGCTGGTCCTGCGAGCCCTGATCTAAGCTCCATCTGAGCTACTGAATCAGGTTCCAATTAAATTCTTGTCTCTTAAAACAGCCCTGCTGTTGGCTTTGACATCCGCTAAGAGGGTGAGAGATTATCTGCCCTCTCTGTCGCTCCGTCATGTCTTGAAACTCAGGCTGATGGCAGCTCAGCTGATCTAAGACCGAATCCAGTTTTATGCCTAAAACATCACAAGCTCTTTAAATTAAGAGTGATATTGTTGGAGGGTTTTTTTTCCCTCCCCCCCACAATCAGAAGAAGAAGCATCTTTCCATCTTCTCTGTCCTGTGCGGGCATTGACGTGTTACATAGCGCGCACAGCTGCAATACGTCAAACTCAACATTTGTTTGTGCATTATAGAGATGCATCTGCAGGTCGCCTGTTATCCACCCAGCACCTGTCACACTGGTTGTGTGAGGCCATTTCTGAAGCCTACAGAGTATCAGATTTAGAGCCTCCTGTCAACCTCAGGTCACACTCGACCAGGGGTATTGCATCTTCGACTGCTCTGCATAATGGTATGTCAATGCAGGATATTTACACTGCAACCGCGTGGTCAACACCCTGCTCATTTATTCGCTTTTATCTACGTGATGTGACGGCTCGTTCCATTCAGAGCCCTGTAAAGAGAGAGTTGCGACACTCTTTGAACTCGCCGATACGCGGTCACGTGGTTCATGCAGCTCCCCATAGTTCCAAACAGCTCATCGCTGTCAGTCAGTTTGAGCGGCTGCTGGCACAACATAACACAAAAATCGACTTTTCTTACTTTACCTGGCATCTTTCAGTAATTGCTGAGCAGTAACGAACTGATTACTTAACCGATTATTGATTATTTCACAAACTATGCATTTTATCAAAGCATTTTTAGAAGCGGCTGATACATTTATCATTAAATTTTAGAAGGAAACGAGACTGCAAACACATATTTGTTAGAAAAAAAAGTATATGCAATACAATGATCAATATAGCCATATCAGTGTTTTATAACGTTACACACGATAAAAACAGATCAGAGTAACACCTGTAATAAAACTATTTGCGATGTTCTCTGCAGGATAATGCTCCACCTTGTCCTCCAGCAGTTCAGATCTGCTCCAGTTTACCTCAGATCATCTGGATGAATTCTTGATTTCTATAGAAGATATTAATTCAACCTTTATTTAAACAGGTTCGTCCCATTGAGCCACGAGGACTCATTTACAAGAGAGACTGAATATAATTGTTGTATTTGTCGTTTTTTTATGGCAACCAAGTACCTGATAACTGAGTTGATTGTAGCTTGACAACTATTGTAAAATTGTAATTCATTGATTAAAATGTTCATTTAAATGAAACTGTTTCTAGTTAAAATCATAACAGATGACAAAATAAGTGTTAACTGTGCAAAAATAAATTTCCAAACAATTATAAAATATGTAAAATGTAAAGCAAGCTTTAATAAAGTACTTTTACTACTATTTATACTGTTTATTAATGACATCATCTCAAGTCAGCAGGACCACCACCATCATCATCATCACAACAACACAAAGTGAGAGCTGTAAATTTAATCTGCACAAACATTTTCAATCAGGGCTCAAAATGTTGAACTGTCAAAGAAATGTGCAAGAAAATAAACTAATGTCACTCTACAGGCACATTTAGAGAGAGGACAGTTCACAGAGACACAGTGAGGACGTGTGAGACTGAAGGAGGTTCAACCATTTGTTCATGGACCAGAACCAAATGAGAAGAACAGCAGAACTTCCACTGACCAGTGACCTGACCAGTGATCTGACCAGTGACCTGACCAGTGATCTGACCAGTGAGCACACGTGTTGTTCTAAATTAAACTTTGGTACGAACAATGTTAAATAATTCATGTCATATTTTTTATTGAACAATAATCTTCATTCTAACAGTGCTGTTGTAATTTCAGAGACTGAGGAAGAAACAGAAATGAGGCGAGTGAGATGAGGGACAGATGAAAATGTGTCCTCAGAGGACAGGGACATGTCAGGATCTGATGATCCAGGATCAACAGGACCAGGAGGATGGATCAACAGGACCAGGAGGATGGATCAACAGGCAGTCAGGGAACAGAGATGAACAACCTGAGGAACAATTAGAACACAAAAACATACATAAGCAGGACAGAAGAAACTCAGACAAGAAAATTAACTCAGTCCTGCGAAGAAAAATATTAACAATGGAAAATAAATTGGCATATTTTTACAAAAGATCAGATGAAGACAACTGGCATGAAGAACTTCCCAGTTCCATCTCAATGTACCTGTGATAGTTTAATAAGTGTTTTTGTTACTGTCCTACAGTTTATTGATGCTGATTTATTCTTGTAATAATTCTTATTTCTTGTTCTGTCTTGAAAGAGTCTCATCTCAACTTCACCCATGATTACCAAACACTAAACTAATAATATAAAACTAATGTAAATGAACAGTCCTGCAGTAAATACCAACTTTGTGAAGGTTATGGTGTTAAAGTAATTTTATTCAAACATCTTGATTAAGCTGTTATTGATTAATAGAAGACAGAAAATGAGATCTTGTACCTTTCTGATACTTTGAATGCAACATTCAGTTCATGAAGTCATTCTCCTCTGGTTTACCTGGAAAACATGAAAAGAATTGACTCATCTCCACAATCACGTTTTTCTTTAATGATAATGTCACAATTTATGCTGCAGTCTTTGACAAATGATCTATAACTTGAACTAAATTACGTCAATCTTGTTGTCATGTTGTCATCATTCTTTGTTAAACCAGGTCTCTCTTGCAAATGACTCCTCGAGGCTCAATGGGATTTACCTGTAGAAATAAAGGTTGAATGAATCTCAGGAAAAAAAGGCCAAATATTTTCTAGTTGAGTTCAGTAACTGGAATTACCATAAATTTAAAAAAGACCACCTTTCAAAATTTAAGCAGTAATAGATATTTTAAAATGCTGAATTAGAAATAAACTCGTTTAAACCGTCATGTTGCAGAGCAGCTGCAGTTCAAACACAACTAGTAATTTAACGTTTCATTAACTAAAACTGGTGACATGAAGTATTAATGTTGATAAATTGAGGTACAGAACAGTCAGATAACGCTTCACAATGGAGAAAAAGTGTTGTATTTGCATTAACTTACCGGAAAAACACGGAAAATGAACTACGTTCAATGCTGAACCCGCTGCTGTTTGGAACTCTTTGCCGCTTCATGACCCACGTGACTTCCGCATTCCATTCTTTCTATGGGAGTCTATGGGAGTGTCGCAACTCTCTCTTTATAGGGCTCTGGTTCCATTACACATTCTGTATTTAGTGTTTTAACAGAATGAGTATTGTTGTTTCATGGAACCCCGTTTAACTCACATCTCTTTGCATGCATTACAGTGTGAGATTTGGTTCTATTGTCATTAATCAGTTCATGACTATTGTTACCAATCAGTTCATTTGATTAATAATCAGTTCACTTGTTATTATTAATCTGTTCCAACTGTTCGGCCGTGAACCGGTTGATTCATGGCTCCTTTTCAGCTTTTCCCCCCCTCTGTTGAAAATTTTCCGGGGCGTTCATGCATTCAGAACGCATAAATACACAGCATGCGTCTGTGCATGGTACACATAATTACGCAACGCGTAATTATGCACATGGGAGCTAAGTGACAAGACGTTTTTTGGGCAAGCTTCCGCTTCATACGGTGTTCGAATGGACCCAGTGAGGCGAGGACCACATCCGCTTTGCCCTTAACCCACTAAGCGACAGCCTTAAAGGGCGAAGCCTATATGAAATAGAATGTTGGTTACGTACAGTAACCCCAGATTCTATGAATATAGGCGTAGTCCTTTAAGCGTTGGGCCTCACTGGCTCCTAAATGGCTGAAGAAAAAGCTATTTGGGAGCAGATTACCCGCTCTTAACGTTATTTATACGGACCGGGTGGGGCCCACACAGCAGGTGGGCGTGGACTAAATTTTTCAGTGTAATGCTTCGCATAATGGCATAAAACCCACTAAGAGACAGCCTTAAAGGGCTACGCCTATATTCATAGAATCTGGGGTTACAGTACGTAACAAACGTTTTCTCTCCATCTTTAACCCGGTGTGATTATACTGAGCTCTCTGAGCAGCAGCTCCACCAGCTTCAGGCCAAAGTCAGAAACGTTCGAATTTCTTAAACACACATGGCTGTTGACCCACAGGAGCGGGATGTCAAAGGCCCGAGTCGAGTCCATTACAGAGCCAGTTAGTGGGATGCACCGCAGCCCAACGAGATCCGATCTGGTGAGCTGGTCCCAGCTGGTCTTCCTGCAGCATCAAACTGATCTCTGTGAAAATATGACAAGATGGCTGCTCTGTCTTCATCCATTAACAACCTTTGAAGTTCTAACAGGGGTGTCAAACCCACTTACAAAAAGGGCCAAAATTAAAACTTTTTTCAAACTAAAGGGCCAGTTTCAGAATCCACATTGACTTAAGTTACACAAACATCTTTTCTTGGTTGCAGGTTCCTCAACAGGAGTTTGGTCTAATTTCATGTTCTGTTGTGCTTTTGGCATCATAATAAAAGATTACTGAAAAAATTAAAGTGATAAAAGTAGTTTACATTTAAAATAACTTCTTGGGGGCCAGATAAGGCACTGAAATCAATTTCTTTATTTCTACATTTAAAACTCTGGTGCTCATTTGTGCATCTCTGGCTTCAAGTCGTTCCTACGTACCAAGTGATCGGTAAAGCAGCCATTTAAACTTTTTAAAAGACTAAATTTTTTTAAACATGGTCTGGACTAAAGGTTAATGATCAGACGAGACAAAGACGGTTGAAACTTGGGACACAGCTGGACCCAACAGGACCATGGGGTCAGTCAGGCTGACATGAAGTCTGGGTCGGATCAGACCTCCACACCAGTGGAAACTTGTGGAGCCTCCTGGACATCTTCAGCTACAGAAGTCCACTTGGGTTCAGGACAAGATGGCTGCTGCCATCTAGTGGACTGGTGGTGGCACTGCGTAGAAGAACGAAGCTGAAAACCTTGGGTTTACCGAGTGTCCTTGGGTGTCCTGAAAGGCGCTTTTTAAATAAAATGATTACTATTATGATTATTATAAAACCGAGCTATAAATATCAAAATTACAGTGATTGAATCAAAAGCTGAAAATGAAGTCCAGAGATCTGTTTTAATTTCAGTTAAATTTTTTTAAACCTTTCAAACACACAAAAGCTACAAAACCCAAAAGTCTGAGTGTCCTGAACAAGCTGAAGTTTAGCTGTTAGTGCTCAAACTGCTGAAGGAGAGAACGCTGCCTCAGCTCCCGATTATTACCAAAAACAGTCGAACAGAGAAAAGAAGAGTTTTTTTATTGTTCGGGTCTTTTCTCCTGATGTGGTTGCCATGGTAACGGTCTGACTCCTGAAGTCAGATCAGAACGTAACAAGTCACAGGAGAAATCTAAATGTTTTTATCTCCTGGTTGTAACAACCAAAGTTCTGTTCTGGTCAGACATCGGTTCCACTCTAGAACACCCGGTCAAACTCAGACTGATTGGTGGTGGCCGGGTTCCGGTTCTGGTTGGGCTGTGGCTGGGGCATGTGTCCTCTCCGCCTGGGCGGCGCCAGGTACTCGAACATGGAGGTGTTGTGGGTGGAGAGCATGTTCTTCAGGTCCGACGGCATCGGGTCAGACCAAAAGAAGTCGTGGTTGAGCGCGTCGTCACTGTCGGTCCGCTGAGCCGGATCCAGAACCAGGAGCTTATCGATGAGGTCCAGAGCATAGGGGTCTTTGACGTAGGCTTTGAGGCGGTCCTTCACCTTCCTCTTCTGACCTTTGGGCAGCTCCATCTTCTGGTACAGCTCGTACTTCTTGTCCACGCCGGGCCAGACCTCCGGGGTGATGGACCCGCACAGCTGGCTGATCAGGGTCAGCTGGTGCTGCTCTGTGTTCCCCTGCATGATGGGGCTCCGGGTCCACATCTCTGCCATGATGCAGCCCGCCCCCCACAGGTCGATGGGGGGCCCGTAGTCTCGTTCACCTGAGGAGAAGGAAACGGATCACGGTTCTGGACTCTGATCCCTCCATCCAAACATTTTATTAATCTAATCAAACATTTGTGCTGTTGAGTAAAAATTTAATTAAAATTATAAAAAAGTCAAAATGTTCAGCTTCTAAAACAAAACATGCTTTTCTTTTTCTACAAACTGAAGCAGCAGCTCCTCACCCAGCAGCAGCTCTGGAGGTCGGTACCACAGCGTGACGACCCGGTTGGTGTAGCGGTTCCCCTGGCTGTTCTTTGCAAGGCTGAAGGCCCGAGCCAGACCGAAGTCGGCAAGCTTCAGGACTCCGTCTCTGGTGATCAGAACGTTGGCTGCCTTCATGTCTCTGTGGAGAATCTGAGCCGAGACACGAGAGTCAGGGAACCAAGTTCTGACCTTGTTATCGGACCTGTCAGAGGCTGTCAGGGGGGTCTTGGTCTGACCTTGTTCCTGTGGATGTAGTACAGCCCGTTCAGCAGCATCTGCATCACCTTCTTGATCTCAGCCAGCGTGAACTTCACGTTGGCGTTGCTCAGCAGGCCGGCCAGGTCGTGCTCACAGAAGTCAAAGACCAGGTAGATGCTGCCTTTATACCTGTTGAACTGCGAGGCTTCAGAACCAAAACCATCAGAACCAAAACCAATGTTATAATCAAGTCTGAGGACAAACGACTTCCTGCTCTGACTGGACGGTTCTGGCACCAACCTTTGGTTCTGCAGATCTCAATCAGATTTACCACGTTCTCATGTTTCAACAGCTGCAGGATCTTGATTTCTCTCAGAGCCGTGATTGGGAACTAAAGGGAAGAACATCAGAAAATAAACTTTAAAATAGGGATGCCGATACCTACATCTGGATATTGGCCAATACTGATATTGTTCCGATATAATATATATATATATTTTTTTTTTTACTGCTATTCTATGGTGGAACCAGATGTGTTCCAAAGTAGCTACATATTTTGCAGGTATAAAGATACATTTGTATACATTTTTGTGTACATTTACTTTTTTAAGCTATTTGACTAACTTTTGTTTTTTATTATTCAATATTTTACTAACAGAGTAGTCAAATAGCAACCTGGTTTTTGTGCGAATCGCTACGTCAGTCAAATGTTAAATTTTGGAATAAAGGGGTGGAAATTAAAACGTTGGGTTTTTTGCCGATTCATTGATTAATCGGAAAAATAATCGGCCGATGAATCGATTATTGAAATAATCGTTAGTTGCAGCCCTAGTAGGTTTTTTTGATGCCTCAAATTGTGCCTTGTCTAGGACACGGTGTGAGAGATCTTTTTTTTTATATCATCTCGCCTCATGTTTTCTTTCCTTTTCTCATCTAAGCAAAATATTATTCTGAATAAGAATAAGAAGGCCGCGCTAATTATTTATAGCTGCAGCTTCGTGCACTCCGCCCATCTTCGGACGACTGTATGTACATATTCGTGTTGTATCTCGGTACAATGCCAATAAAGTTTTTTCTGATTCTGATAACATCATCATTCATTTTATATGAGGCTGTAATAATCTCAAGTACAATTTGTACAAATATATACATGCATGTCCAAAAAGGCAACTCGAGTTAAGTTTCATTAACGTTGGATAAGTTTCAAAGTTAGAATTAAATTCTGCTAACACAAAACATGTTTGTTTTATTCCTAGCTTTAAAGTGGATATTCAAGTGATTAAATGGCTTCAAACATCTGCTAAGTTCATGGCATAAACCAACACAGACATGTTCCTGTTTTTAGTATTTTACATCACTTCATAATGTAATGTTTTTCTTTTGTTTATTATATATACAATTTTCTTTTATTTTTCAATTCATATGCTTTTTTATGATTGTCTACTGTTGTACTGATAAATATCTCCTGGAGGGTAAAACTATATCTTGGCTGCAAGTATCAAGCTGTGAAATCCTTTGTTTTCTACAACTGATGGTGGTTGGTCATTAATTACGATGAAGTTTAGCAACTTCTCGGTAAACATTCGAGCATTCGAAGACAGTCTGATTTTGGTCAGCCGCGCTCAGTCTGCCCCTCCTCCGAGATGGGCAGACTGAGCGCGGCTGACCGAAATCAGACTGCCTTCTCCGGATTGAACAATCCGGGCACCACTGAAGCCCCGGAGCTCGAATGTCCGACGTAAAACTAATTTTACCGCGGTTTAATGTGGTGCTATGGCTCTGCAGACATTGCACATTGCTGTCATGTTTTGTGGTGTTTCTAGTGTAAAATACTTCCATACAGTGGACATGTTTAGATGAAAAGTTTGTTAGCCACAGTGCTGCTCACTCAGTCCTCATGTTTTAGCTGGCTGCAAACTATGAAATGGATTTCCTGAATGTGAGGTGGGTCTTATTACTCTGGGTTCATGAAACACGCCTCCGTTCAGGAAATCCATTCCATAGTTTGAAGCCAACATGCAGAGCAGCCGGCAGGGAACCACATGTGGAGATGTTTCAACAGACACAGATATGCATCACAGATGGGAAATCTCTGCAGGTTGGATCGGAAAAATCTTTTACGTAAATTATGCTGGTATCGGAGCCCGATACGGATACAGGATCAGATCGACCCCATCCCTACCTAAAACTTTGGTCGTCCTTCACTGAACCACATTTTGGTTGGTTCTGACCTCTGCACACCAGGACCATCTCACAGAGCTGCAGGTGTGAGGTGTTCTGACCCAGTTCATCATAGATTCAGACAGAAACCACAAATAGATTCATCAGAACTGAAAGGTTCAGGTTCTGTTCTCACCCCTTCTTTCTCGTTTTCCATCAGAACTTTCTTCAGAGCCACCTTCTTCCCAGTCTGCCTGTGTTTGGCTTTGAACACCTCCCTGAGAAGAGAACAATGTCACTTTTATTCTGCCTAAAACTGGATTTTACTAAAGAAGGGAAGCAGTTAGCGTGAAAACCCGAGGGACTGCAACTCTGTTTTTATTTATTTCACAGAGTTGCCAGCCCCCATCGGCCTTTGGCACCATGTGAAAGTGGGACGCCCATGGATTTTTGGAACGTCGCACAATGCCAAGACTCTCCATGTAACAAAACTCCTCCTTAGCTATTGCTAACTTAGTGGTATCTAGGTGGCGCGCTCATGCAAAAAACAGTGAACCAAATGTAGTGATACAATGCTCCACCCCATGTTTAGCTATGGTAACAGAAAAGGTGGAAACCGTCAAAGCAGGAAACTCTGACAACAAACGCTGATACTCATCACCTGTGGCAAGCAAGTTAGCAAGAGTTTGATGGACAGGACCTCCAAGTTTACAGGGGTAGGTATCAAAAGACACAGCATCAATTACACAGCTATTAGCAACATGCACTAATAACCTGAAAGCACATAAAAATCAGCGCCCAAAATAGATCCAGACACAGAAGCTATTACGAAGTCCCACTGAAACTGACATCCATTGAAACACACAGTCAACGACCTCGAGCCATAAGCTTGAATGGGGGTGCCATTAGCCACATCCAGTGGGAGTCCGTTACTTTGACACAAGAAATCCATAGATGAAGCTGGCATAATGCTCCACTGTGCACCCGAGTCCACTAGGAAACGCCATCCAGAAATCTTGTCCATGATGAAAAGCAGCTTATCTGAACTTCCAGCATGCACAGCTGCCCTCTTGTTTCCCTGATGCATGGAATGAACATGGAGGAATGCAGCGCTTCGCTTTTACTCCAAACCGGCAGTGCTAGAAGCAAAGCACGTCACCCTTCCGCCGCTCTGTCACCGCAGCCATGGCATCAACAGCCTCCAACCCCCCTTGCGTCACACCCGGTAAAAGTGCCTGCACACTCTAGTGCCTGGAAGCTAACAAAAGTTGGTCCGCTTTTTCAGCCAGAGAGTGATAATCCTTTGTCTGGATCAACGGGGAGCTGGCCAGCACGGTGCGAACAGGTGGAGGAAGCTGGCGAAGAAACTGGTGCGTAAAAAGGAAGGAAACATCCCCTGAGCCAAGTAACACTTCTCCATCTGTCAGAGGGCTTGCGATCCCCCAAGCCACTCAGGGACAACAAACTGTCAGCCCGCTCCACATCTGACAGTTGGTAAAGCCGCAGCAGGTTCTCCTTGAGCGCACTGTACTTGTTAGTACTTGGTGGGTCCTGCAGCAGACCCATCTAGGGCTGAGTACCGAACCAAGGTTCTTTTATGGCACCGACCGAACTAAACCGGTCGGTGTATGATTGAAACGTCACTCTTTTTTTGGTGTGAAGTTTCGGTATTGGTTGTAAGGTGTCACGTGGTTTCAGCACATAGGCAGGTAAAACACCAGACATATGACGAAACAGACTACATGTTTACACCCAGAGCTATATAGAGCTGCCGCACCTAATCTATGTATAATGTATGTCTATGGTGCTGGTGACGCCCACAGACGGAGTTCACATGTGCAGCACGTGTGTTGTCGAACGGCTTCAATTTATGAGCAGAAAGTTGCTCCGTGTTTCTCTGCAAGAAGACAAGAAGCAACCTCCCCCCTCCTCTTCTCAGCGTGAGTCAGTCTCTGTGTGTGTGTGTGTGCGTGTGTGTGAAACGGACTGAATCAACATTCCACAGCCGGACTCGTCTTCATCAAAGAACTCCCGAGGACGGCTCTGTGTCTGCGTTTTCAGCTTCAGTTTACGTTAACGGTGGTGTGACGTTGCACGTTTGTGGTGAGACGTATTGTGTCATTTCCTGTTTGTCTGTCGGTAGCTCGAGTGAATTGTTTGCTCGAGTCGTCTGTTTTCTGGTGTAGTGAACTTAACCTGATGTCAAGACTAAGCCTAAGGTCGAAACTCTTGACCTTAAGAACCTTGTGGGACAGGAACTGTCATTTCATTGATTTGAATCCAGAAATACAGGTTCACCCATCCTGAGACTTTCTTTCTTGAAAATTCAAGTGGAAGAACACTCTCTGTTCTATTATCATTACTATTTTACAAATGTTGATAATCAAAGTGCCTTAGTTCAAACCATTTTAGATGTTGCAGTGAACTAATCAATTTTATTAACTGTGTAATGATTTTTAATTCTCATGCAAAGTTAGAACTCATGTTAAAGCTGTTACAGAGTAATTATGCATTTTCTGATTTCTGTCTTTGAATGAGCAAGTGTGCGTTCCAGGGTCAGGAGTCGAAGCAGACATGCGTTGGAACAACTGTCTTGTTTATATCCTCTCAGACGTCAACAGGGGGGTTTTGGCACCTGTTTCTAAACTCGCCAAAACAAAACTCTCTCTGTCTGTGAGAACATTTCTGATCTGTTCCATAACAATTCTTGCCGTCTTCTAACCTCTTACGTCACAAAACACACCCCCGTCTGGTCGGTTCTGACCAATGGGAAGACTCCCGAATGAACCGGGAAAAGAGCTCTTTAAAATGTCGGTACTTCCTGGTCTACTCAGTTCTGTGAGAGTTGAGCAGAGTTGAGTTCAGTTCTGTTGGTTGGAGAAGTTCGGCGGCGCGGACAGTTCTGATATGTCCTAGCGCTGTGCAGTAGCTGTGGGAGCCGGGAAGACCCTGACATGACCACAGAGGTCTTCCGAGTTTCATGGGATTATAACATTTTCCACTGAGGTGAGCTTGTGTCGGACAGAATCTCGCCGCTACTCCGGACGAGTAACAGCATCCTACGGAGACGCTGAAAGGGTGCGTTAAACGGAATCTCGCCTGAGACATCTCCAGGTAAAAGAGTCGATTTCACCACCTAAGTGTACTGTAAGGAAGAAGCTGAAGAAAGCCCGGAGAGTGCCGTTCTGTTTAACACTCTCCCTCAAACACCATCCTTACTCCTTTAAACTTCCTTCCCATCTTTAAATTCTTCTCTCAAGTAGAAATTCTTCCAGATATTTTAGAAATGTCTGTGTAAAGTGCTCATCCACCGCCGTGTGGATAAAAAGATCATAATTGTACAGTTTTCATAAATGTCTGTGGTGAAGCAACGGAAAAATCATGGCCGTATGATTTTTCCTGATTGATTGCTTTTGTTGTTAATTTCATAATTTGCCAAATTAATGTAAATGTTTGATGTTAAACTTTGATTCTGTAAATAAATGACCGCATTCATTTTGATGGGTCAAAGATAAATGACGTCTCACGTTTGCATTTCCTTAAATTCAATGCACGTTTTATTCAGTCCAGAAAAATGAGGAATCCGTGTTAATTGATGAATATATCTGAGCATCTGTTCATCTACACTGGATTTATCCGTCTTTTGCACAGTTTTACATTCTAGTTCACAAACACAGTACAGTTGTTTTTCTACTGTTGAATAGTGCTTAAAACACCTCTTATCTTTCAACACTTCTCGGTTTTTATTGGTGTATTTGGCTCTGCTAGCTCCTGCTAGTGTTAGCTTAGCATGGCTGCTGCTTCTCTCCCTGCTTCCTCTGTTTTCTCTAGTTCTGTGTGTCAGATGTTTAGTTACTCCTCTGCCTCCTTTAGTGGTAATGATACATGTAACAAATGCAGTCTTATGGTAGCTTTGGAGGAGAGGCTGTCTGAACTGGAAGCTCGGCTCTGTGCAGTAGAAAAACCAGTAGCTAGCCAGGTCCCCTTAGACAGCGCGGAACCACAGAGGCTAGCTCCCGTTAGCGGTCCTCCAGCAGACCCCGAGCAGCCGGGACCCCAGTCCGGCTGGATGACGGTCCGGCGCAAGTGTAGTGCTAAGGCTAAGCCCCCAGTTCACCACCGATCCCTTCACGTTTCTAATCGATTTTCCTTGCTCAGTGACACACCCGCTGAGAAGCAGACCCTGGTTATTGGAAGCTCCATAGTCCGAAACGTGGCTTTAGGGACTCCAGCGGCCATAGCCAAATGCATTCTGGGGGACAGAGCAGGCAACACAGAATCACATTTGAAACTGCTGACTAAGGCCAAGGCTAAATATAGTAAGATTGTTATTCACGTCGGCGGTAATGACACCCGGTTACGCCAATCGGAGGTCACTAAAATTAATGTTGCTTCGGTGTGTGACTTTGCTAAAACCATGTTGGACTCCGTAGTTTTCTCTGGCCCCCTCCCCAACCTGACCAGCAATGACATGTTTAGCCGTATGTCATCGTTTAACCGCTGGGTGTACAGGTGGTGTTCTGACAATGACGTGGGATACATAGATAACTGGAGTTCTTTCTGGGGAAAACCTGGTCTGATGCGGAGAGATGGCATCCATCCCACTTTGGACGGAACCGCTCTTCTTTCTAGAAATATGGCTGATTTTGTTTATCCCCCAAATTATTGACAACCCAGGGTCCAGTCCAGGAAGCAGAGTTGTAGTCCTCTACACCTCTCTGCTGCTTCTCCTCTGTTACCCAAATTTAAACAATCTCTTCCATTAATGTTTTCCTCTGTCTTGCAGAGTAATGCATCAGAGAACAGTGACTTAGATCATCTAGTTGATCATCTTACAACTTCAATGCAAACTTCACTTGATAAAATTGCTCCACTGAAAAAGAAAGTAATCAATCAGAGGAACCTGGCTCCTTGGTTCAATTCTGAGTTACGTACTTTAAAGCAGGCATCTAGAAACCAGGAGAGAAAATGGTGCTCTACTAATGTTGAAGAATTTTATTTAACTTGGAAAGATAGTCTGCTAACATAAAAAACCTTTCCGTAACGCTAGAACTTTATAGTACTCATCTTTAATAGAGGAGAATAAAAATAACCCTAGGTTTCTGTTTAGTACTATTGCTAGACTAATTAAAAGTCCCATTTCTGTTGAACCATGTATCCCTACAACTCTAAGTAGTGATGACGTCATGAGATTCTTTATAAATAAAATTATTTCAATTAGAGAGAAAATTCAAACCATCCTTCCTTCTACTATCTCTAGTCCCCTGTCAAATGAGGC